TCTTTCTTTCTTTCTTTCTTTCTTTCTTTCTTTCTTTTGTGATATTTCGATATTTCTTTACTTAATTAACTAATGGTCCGTCCTCAAAGAAAATACATTATGGTATAAGAAGTACAGATAATATCATAATAAACAAGCGATGGAAAAACCACAGAGTAGAAAATGAAACAAGACGGTCAATACCGCACGCAATAAATTAGATTTTGAATACATTTTGATGAGAAGAAATGGAAAATATAACATATAAAAAAGATTCATGCGTTACCAAAATGCGATGAAACAGCGTGTAAAATCGCTTTCCGTCGAGAAACAGAACTACCTCCTCGGCTCGGGCGTAATGTTTCCCCATTTCAGACCACATGTCATTCCCTTGAGAATACGATTCTTTGCTTGAGTTGCATACACATTCATGCGTCTTCTCATGTGCAACCGAGCGCAACCGTTAGTCAAACAAATGATACTCAAGAGAATAGCAAGTGGGAAAACATTACGCCCGAGCCGAGGTCTTTTCCGTTTAGCGTTCGATTGAAGATCGTGTGTGATTTGTTAGGCTTCGAGTATTCAACGAAGATTGGACTGCTACCTTCCTAAGTGTGTTATTAATATAATGGAGCGTTTCGAGTTCCAACTCGGAAGCTCAAGCTTTCGGAAGTCGTCCACAATTATCTATTGTGTTTTTTTTTTTCTTTTTACTCAAACTGTTTAAGTAATAACACTTATTTACTTTGTATTTACAAATGAATTTTCTATCATTGGAAATAAGATAATTGAATTGAGTTAATTTTCATGATATGAATTTCTTGCAAATTTTTCTGTCAATCTCCTTTCAATTATTATATTTATCATTTAAAATTGAACATTACAGCTCTGATCTTCGTGTGGTTTTATCACATTCTATAAGCTCTTCATTTTCACTTTGTGTTGTTGTCACAGATTTTTTATCTTTTTTTATTCATCGTGGTACGTCATTTAAACTAATATTTCGGCTTGACCATCGCGTTAATTTTTCAAACCATCATTTTGGCTCGCCCTTCCCTTTCTTGGGAGGTTCTTTTTCCCTGATTTCGGGTTAACTTAAGTCTCGCTAATTTCCCAATACTTGAATTTCGTGGAGCATTAATTTCCGACCTATAATAAGCTATATCATACTGAAATAATGCTGGATTTCAGTTAGCCTTATCTTATAGAAAGCAGTATAAATATTTCACTTTCGCAAAACAAAATTCCCGTGAAAAGGAAAGAAAAACTGAGAAATAAAATGTCAAAAACTGTCAAAACTTAACTCATAATCAAACATTTTGTATGGAAAAAAAAAAAAAAAAAAAAAAATTTTAAAGAAAATTATAACGGATCGTATTAATATAATAAGAACTTTTAGGACCAACTTCTCATTGTTCACATAGCACTCAGCATTAGAACTAAAAAGAGTTAAAATCAAATAGACTAACAAAAAAAGAAAGCTTGAACGAACCTTTTGAATGTTTGTCTGGAAGATCGACAAGTGTACACGACGCAGCGTCAGTGAGTTCTATCTTGGAATAAAGAGATCAAAGTAATTATAATGAATGACTAGATATCTTGGTTTTTGCGACCTCTTGACTGCGGATTTTTGAACCATTCATAGCACTGATGCTTATCTACTGCACGAATCTCTCACAATCTAGAAGCCTATAAAAATGTTCGATGACGAACTATAGAGCCGATCGTTAATACGTGGCAAGATAAGGTCTCAATTGATGAATAAATGGAGAAAATCGATATCGTGAAACAAGCTAAGTCAAGCACGGGTAAATAATAGATGATACTTGAAACAACCTCTGGGCTGATCTAAGTCAGGGCACGGCTA